AATTAACTCATCTTTATCCAAGTGCTACATGCATCCACTGTACTCTTATTTAAACCACCTTTCCGGTCTAAAAGCTTTCAACAGCTACCTTAATGTTAAGAAGTCAGGCTCTGTAGTCACAAAAGATTTAGATTTTAAACTGTTCATTTATTAGCTCTATGTATTTCCAGGTGGCACTAGTGGTAAAGAACCCACCTGCCAATGCAGGTAGATGTAAGAGACGTGGGTTCGATCTCTGGGTAGGGAAGATCCCCTTTAGGAGGAAACGGCAACCCACTCCAGTATTCTTGCCTAGAGAATCCCATGGACAGAGGAGCTTGGTAGGCTAGTTCACAGGGCTGCACAGAGTCCTATGCATAGGACAGCTGCATGACTGAATAGACTTAGCATGCACAGATGAGATCTGAGTCAATTTCCTAGTTTATAAAAGAGGATATATAACTAAAAGTAAAGGATTAAAAGGCAAAAGGTGGCCCAAAATAAACATTCAATATTAGTCATCATTATTATTAGGCAAGAGTTAACCTCATTTATAGATCAAATAAACAAACAACTGAGTCTCAGAGGTGGAATAACTTCCCAGTAGAATGGAACCTCAAACCCAAATCTGCCTCCAAATTCTGCTTTTTCCATTACGCCAAACAACCTAACTCATGTATGAAAGTGTAAGTTTCTCAGTTGTGTCCAACTCTTTGGGACTCTATGGCCTGTACAGTCCATGGAATTCTCCAGGCCCGAGAACTAGGTAGTCTTCTCTAGGGCATCTTCCCAACCCAGGGATTGAACCCAGGTCTCCCACACTGCAGGCAGATTCTTTACCAGCTGAGCCACAAGGGAAGCCCCAGAATACTGGAGTGGGTAGACTATCCCTTCTCCAGTGGATCTTCCCGACCCAGGAATCGAACTGGGGTCTCCAGTATTGCAGGTGAATTCTTTACCAACTGAGCTCTCAGGGAAGCCCTATCTCATGTCTATTCCTGTCGTTTTAAATAGGCTACTAACTGCAATTTAACTAGTCTTTATTGTGTGGTCACAGGTTATGGGTGTTTTTAATCTTATTCCATTTTTTCTTTTTCATATCCTAATAGTTTGGGAGGAAAACTGACTGAACACACAGCAGGTGATGACCAGGTGAAAAGACGAGACCCAGTTTCTCCTTGTCAGTATCCTTACCTGTAGTAGCCTCTCTCCTCTCCAAGTGCATTTGCTGCTTTTAAATCTGCTACGATCTGAGCTCGAATAAGTACCCTAAGACTAGTGAGAGTACCTCTAAGCCTGAAGAACAAAGGAAATACAAACTTTCCAAACCAGAAGGAGCGAGTCATCCATGTAGGGAGAATTACCTTCAGAAGAGTAACAAGGGACACAGCTAGACAGAGACAACACTCATAGGAAGGGAGCAGGATAATTGAATTCCATATCCTCAGATGGGAAAAAAGCCAGCTGATGAAGTCTAAGTGCATCAGCTTCCCAGGTGGCAAAGGATGGCGCATGGACCTAGAGGAGCCGACAGAAGGGACCTAATTCCCCCAGAGAAGTCTTCCTGCTGAACCTTCACATCTCTTCTTCCATCGTAATGGCTAAGTGCCAGATAAGGAAAGATTTACTGAATGTGACAGTTCTCACCCTTTTGAAGAGTAATGTTTATCCACCATAAAATATTTATGGGTGAGTTTTTCACTAATTGAGTATGGTCATTTATCATCCCACTTGTAACTGTTCAGAAATCTTTTAGACTCAAGAATTTACCCATCTTTCTCCACATGTATGGATTTTGCGCTTACCTACTAGGCAAATTAAGTCACAATAACGCATATACTATCACAACCCTCAAGAAACTTAATACTTAGGAGTTTGCACTCATATCTTAAGATGTCTTAAGAAGACAGAAGACAGAATGAGTGCCACCAGAGAGGAAAGAGCTGTTGGCTGTGAAAAGTTCTAAGACAGGTTTCTTTGCCATCCAGCCCCTGGCAGGCATAACTTCAGCCAGAACTCACTGTTATCTATTAGCAAGGTTTCCCACAGGTCCAGATCTGAAGAACCACTCACCAAGCCCTCAACAGCCCTCAGTTTCCACTCTATACCCTCAGCCAATAAGGTTCATGCCTCATCTTCCTGGAAAGTCCCTCTCCTTCCAAATGTCACCTCCTTACCTGAACCTTACTTGGACCCTCAAAGAACAATTACAATGTGTCTACTCTGAATTCCCAAAAGCCTTTACTTTAAGAACTTAAAGCACTTTATCATTATCCTTGTATTTGTGCAGGACCTCTACTAGATTAGGGCTTCCCTGGTGGCTCAGAGAGTAAAGAATCCGCCTGCCATGTGGGAGACCTGGGTTCAATCCCTGGGTTGGGAAGATCCCCTGGAGAAGGGAAAGGCTACCCACTCCAGTATTCTGGCCTGGAGAGTTCCATGGACTATACAGTCCATGGGGTCACAAAGAGTTGGACACAACTGAGCGACTTTCACGTCACTTCACTTCTACTAGATTGTGAGATTCCAAGTCATCTGTATCCTTAGCCACTAACAGCATTCAAAATAGTAAGTCAGGCCCAGTGTAAGTATTCTACATATATTAACATTACATTCTACTAATATGTACATCACAATAAGTCATCACAGTAAAACTGAAAACAAGATGACAGGAACTCTCTTCACAATTTTACAAGTGAGGAAAATTAAGTGCACAAAAAGGTTAAGTAGTGCTGAAAGTCTCAAAGCTAGTAAGGACTGGACCCCAGGATTTCAATCTAGACATAACTTCAGAACTGAATTTCAATAGACATCATGGGTTGAAGGGAAGGTCGGACTACAAGATCAATGGTCTCCACCACAGGGAGCACAGTTATTATTCACACACTGGGGTATGGAAAACCAAATACTGGCACTTCTACTTATATTTCAGTTCATCCTTTTGTAAAATGTCTATTTTTGCACGTTATAAAATGTACATAATAGACAGTACAGTCAACACTGTAATTGTAACTTAAACATTCATATAATGTGTGTGCATACTCAACCATATTTACTGATACAAAGAACATTAAAACCATTTGAGGCCACTATTCTAGACCATTTCCCCCAGGGACTCAGTTCCCCATTCTCTCTGCCTAGCACTTCAGTTAAAAAACATTAGCCAATCAAGACTACAGGTGAACTTTAGAGAGGTAAGAGTTTGCTCTTATTTATATTTGGAAGCCCTACATCAGCACAAGGACCGGGTGCTTAGCAGATGGTCAATATTGAACCTAACTGCATCACGAGAACCTCACTTTAAAAAATTATCTTCAGGAAAAAAAAAAGTCTCTCGACATTTTAATGCAACTTACAAATACTTCCAGATTAAAAAAAAAATAAACATACTAAGCACACTGCCTAAAAATGTTATATAGAATTCTCCTAGGAACACTATAAACAAAAAACAAACCTTAGTTACATAATAGAACCAAAAAATTGTACTTTAGGGCTTATTTTAAACAGAAAACTGCATAAAAGAGAACTGGGCATTAAAAAAAAAATCTAAGTTTATATTAAAGGTCCTTTCACTATACAGAGATAGTGTAACTTTGCCAGACCTAAAGGTCACCTCTGTTGGTTTCTCCCAAGTTAAACTCCAAAAGGAATAGATTAAACTTTCCAAAGCAGCAACTGCAGACTTGACTATGAAGAGGCATTAACTGGGTCCACCTACCTACTCTGCATTTCTTCAATCCAACATTTAATGGGAATCAAACAAAGAAGAAAGGCTGTGTAAAGCAACCCTTTTATGAGAGGAAGAACCTAGCCTCTGAGGCTAAATCCACAAGGTTCCTCCTGTCCTCAGCTTCATCCTCTGCACAATGGGCATACACAAACACTTAACTCTTATCTATGTTACCAGGATTAAATGAGAGAAAACATGCAAAATGGATTTATCTGTTCCTCATTGAACATGTCTCTCTCCCTTCCCCCAACTAAAACTCAAAGCTTGAGTTTGGTTTATCTAGTTTGTTGCTATATTCCCAGGGCCAAAATGGTACCTTTTATTTAATAAATGATTTAATAAATGCTAAATGAATAGAATGCAAAATGCCTGCTGCTCAAAAAATGTTGGCTATTATGGCTCTTACTGCTAACAAGAAACAATGAAAATTTTATTGTTAAGAGACCCACACCTCCTCGAAAGATCTCACGTTTCTAGGAGGTACAGTAGATAAATGCTGAAAAGGAGAAATGGAGCTAAGAAAAACAACTGGATCATAAAGCAGGACTAACCTAAAATAAAATTAAAATCTCAAATAAATACACCAATCAGAGCTGAATTTCGAGCTTTCCCGAGTGAGGTTCACCCTTGATGAGGTTTAACAGCGATTACAATAATGACAGTTTTCACGCCTGTGTGTGCCAGAGCCCATGTCAAGCCTCCTATGTGGCCTCACAAAACCCTGAACCAGGGTGGGGAAGGGCTGATGATGTTCTTCTCGCCTTCATTTTGCAGAAGAGGGAACTGAGGTTCAGAGACCCAAGGTCACCGCCTGTAAGCGGAGAAGCCGCAATGTGAACCCCAGCAGTCAGACCCCCGAGCCTGCACTCAACAGGCCCCTCAGAGGGGCCATCCTCGCCTCTTCCACCATCCGCCACACACCCCTCGAAACTGGATGTGTGTAATATTTCTCCAGGGCCGGACTTAGTGGCCCCGGCGCCAGGAGAACAAAACAATCCTTGTCCGCCGGCAAGTTAGATGGACGCCGGCCCGGCCGGGGCTCCGAGGCCGCGGTGCCCAGAGACTCGCGCACACCACGAGCTCCCAGCTCTCGAGCCGTGCAGGAGTCGCCTGGGCTGCCTTGGGATCCCGGGAAGGCCCGGCCCGCCGGGTGACCTTGGATCTGCCGCCCTTCTTGGGGCCTCAGTTTACCAGCCTGGCCTCGCGCCGGGGGCCTCCCGGGAGCTCGCGCCTGTGGAGCCGCAGGCCTTCACACGCCCCCCTTAGCCGCCCGCTTTCCCGCCCCGCTTACGCTGGAAGGCGGCCGCTCCAGGGACGCCCACCATCGCCCAGCGCCGCTGCCGCGCACCTCGCCTCCACTCGCGGCCCGGGTCCCCCGCAGGCACCGCTGAGGGACCTGTAGCCGCCAAGCTCGCCGACCCCAGAGTCGCTGCTGCCTCCGCCGCCGCCGCCGCCGCCGTTAGGCCGCGCGCCGCCCCGCCCCCCAGTTGGCCCCGCCCCGCCCGCCGGGCACGCCCCCGCAGCGCGTTCTCGCCCGCCAGACCAACGCACGCGGAAGCCTGGCCCCTAGACCGACTTCCACTAAACCCCGCCTCCTAATCTGCTCCGCCCCTTCCGCGCGAACTATTACCCTATCCCGGCTCACCCTGCTCCTCAGTCCCGCCCCCCCTGCGTCACTCGCGCCCATCACGTGCAAGATCCACTCTTCAGGCTTAGAGATTCCAGCTGTGGCCAAGGCAACTGCCAGAACCCAGAGGCGGAGCCTTAGGGGGCGGAGCTTAGGGGGGGAGGGCGCAGTGCCTCACCTGAGTTCTCCAGGTTAAGGTTCTTTCGCCTTTGCGCCTGTTTTTAGGCAACGCACTTCTTCCGACAGTGTTCCAATATTTAAAATGTCATGATCATAATGTTAATAACTGTTACCTGTTACCGAGCTATTTTTATACACTCCATCCCGTTAATCCTTACAATGAGCAAGAGAACTATTATTATTTATTCCCCTTTTCTGTACATGCGGATATGGCTTACCCACCAACCAGGTTGCTCACTAGGTACAGTTAACAGAGATGGGATTGGAAGCGAGGAACTTGTGACTTCAGACCCAGTACTTTGAGCTACTCTGAAGTATTCTACCTCCCAAAGTCTCTAAATTAAAACAAGAGATTAAAATTTCCAAACTCCTCTATGTACAAAGATACCAAAAGCAAAGTTCTTTTAACTATACTTGTCTTTTGCAAGCAAAAGACTGAGATAAAATAGTTGCAACATACTCAACAAAAAAATCAATATTCAAAATAAAGAGCTCCTTACAACCAATAAGAAAAGTAAGATAATTTAATAGAAAAATGGACAAAGAATAAATAGACAATGCACAGAAAAGAAAATCTGAAAAAGTAATAAACATTTTTAAAAGATGCTCAGGACAACACCAAACAATGAGTTGCCATATTTCATGCATTAGATTTTAAATTCCACTGTGGGAATCCATCCCAAAGCAATACTAGCTCATGTGCACAAAAAGTTGTGTAGGAAAGAAGGTTATGCCAGAATTATTTACGACAACAAAAAGTGGAATTGACTCAAATGTCCAATGTGGAAAACTAGTAAAACAAACTATGGAGAATAATATGCAACATTTAAAAAGTAGGTAGATCTACTTGTAATAAAAGGTTGCCAAGACATACCTGTTAACTGAAAAAGCAAATTCAAGTTCCATATAGTTGTTCTTTTGCTTTATTTCCAAGTTTTGGATAATTGGATAATTTTTCTTAACACCTACCTACTGTGTACACTCTAAAATTGTGCTAAATCTAAGCCCACATGCCAGAGCCAGACAAAGTGGATATAAATTATAGCTCCATACTTACCAGCTATACAGACCTGGACAAGTCATCCTACATTTCTAAGCCTAGGCAAGTAGTTCACAATAGTACCTAGCTTGAAAGATGGTTGCATGAAAAGTACAATACCTGTTACATTTTTTAAATGTTATACTTATTATTGTATGCATTTTTCTTTTTTTGTTGTTGTTGTTAATCTCTTTTCCCTCCCAGTACCGAGCCTCTACCCTTCATGCCTGGAAGTTGTTAACACAAAGTAGGTGCTCAAAAAAGTCTTGCTGATGCATTCTATTACCATTTGAATCCTGCCATATACTGCCTTGCCTTGTCTTGACACTTAGCTATTTGGAATATAATAATTGAGCAACATTTGAAGTATTTTTATGATGTAGATATTTAAGACATTTTTGCTGAATTAAAGAAAAATTCAGCAAAAGGAACGAAGTAGGGACAATAATTAACCTGCCTAAGACCACATACTATGAAGCCGGTGCCTGGTCAAAGAGGCTAAATATAGAATTTTCTGCCACAGTATCACATTCAAGCTGATAAGTATGAATTTATTTATTAAACATGTAGTGAGAAACTAGCCCATAACTCAGTGGTTCTCAGGGTGGGCTACTGTCAAAATCATTTGGAAATGAGAAACTGATTTAGAGACACGTACTCATAGGCCCTGCTGATCAGGAAGGCCCCCAGGTCTGGAACCACAAGAGCTCCCCTCCAGAGGTAGAAGGAAAGGAAAGGGGCTTCTGCTTCTTTCCAAGGCCACCCACTCCAGTATTCTTGGGCTTCCCTTGTGGCTCAGCTCAGTAAAGAATCCACCTGCAATGCGGGAGACCTGGGTTCGATCCCTGGGTTGAGAAGATCCCCTGAAGAAGGGAAAGGTCACCCACTCCAGTATTCTGGCCTGGAGAATTCCATGGACTGTACAACACAACTGAGCAACTTTCACTTCTTCCCAAAGTCTTGTCTGTCCTTGCCAAGTCAAGTCTGGCTTACTTCTATGACAGCATCTCCATTGCTCTCAGGCTGGTCAGAAAGAATGTGAGTCCCAGTGCGTACCAGGTCTCCAGCCTCACCTCACCTCTGGGAGCCCCCTTCCTCCCTCCACACTACCAACCCCCACTTTACTCCTATACACCCGCTAGGTATCAGCTCATCTTGTACTTCCTCAGAGAAACCCTCCAGACCTGTCAGACCTCCTAGTGTCCACTCCTGTAGTACTATGCAGCTCTTCTTCATAGTACAGAATCCATTTGTCAGTTTGCATTTATTTTTCCCATTCTTAGATTACTATCCATCTTCCTCTATAGACCTCAAGCTCCATAAAAATTTCCTTTTTGTTGTTTACCACTATGTCTCCAGTGTCTGGGACAGAGATGGCCCTCTGTAAATACCTGTTAAATAAATAAGGGACATATTAAAGTGGAGGTAGGCACAGGCATCTGTGAGAGTACAAAGGGTCTTTCTAGTCAGCCTCCTTGACACCCTTCCCCAACACATGCCCTTGAGAGTCATAAAAGCATTGTCAGGAAAGGAGAGAATCAATGCATTCACTAAATAAATATTTATAAAAGAGAAGACATCTGGAAAATTCCCAACCACTTGAAAACTAAAATATATAGTACTTCTGAATAACCAGTGGGTCAAAGAAGTCACAGAAAAATTAGTAAGTATTTACGATGCAAAAATCCTCAACAAAATATTAACAAATTTTATTCTACAATATACAAAAAGGATAATATATCATGGTCAAATTGGAATTATCCTGGAAATTCGAAGCTAATTTAAAAACTTATGCTTACACAAAAACTTGTGCATGGCTGTCAGTAGCAGCTTTATTAAAAATTACTAAAAACTGGAAATCTAAGTGTTCCTCACCTAGTGAATGGATAAACTATGGTACAATCATCATTCAAGCAAACATTATTCAGCATTAAAAAGGGACACATTTCTGGTAGGCACAACAGCATGAATGAGGGGAGGGGGTAGTGGAGGGATGGACTGAGTGTTCAGGGTTAGTAGATGCAAACTGTTATATTTAGAATGGATAAACAAGGTCCTACTGTATAGTTCAGGGAACTATATTCAATATTCTGTGATAAACCATAATGGAAAAGAATATTAAAAAAATGCATAGGGACTTCCCTGGTGGTCTGGTGGTCCACGCTTCCGCTTGGAGGCGTCACGAATTCCATCCCTGGTTGGGGAACTTAGACCCTGTATGCTGCAAAAAAGATCAAAGATCTGAGATTCCATGTGCTGAAACAAAGGCCTGGCACAGCCAAATAAATAAATGTTAAAAAATAAAAGTGAAACCATTGAAGTGCAAGGTACATACACAGCAAAATGCACAAATCTCAAGCATACACGTTGATGAATTGTTTCAGGCTTAACACCCTGTAACCATCACTTATATCAAGATAAAGTTCATTTCTACCACCCTAGAAGGCTTTGTGGAGAAGGCCATGGCACCCCACTCCAGTACTCTTGCCTGGAAAATCCCGTGGACAGAGGAGCCTGGTGGGCTGCTGTCCATGGGGTCGCTAAGAGTCGGACACGACTGAGCAACTTCACTTTCACTTTTCACTTTCACACATTGGAGAAGGAAATGGCAACCCACTCCAGTGTTCTTGCCTGGAGAATCCCAGGGACGGTGGAGCCTGGTGGGCTGCCGTCTACGGGGTTGCACAGAGTCGGACACGACTGAAGTGACTTAGCAGCAGCAGTAGCAGAAGGCTCTGTAATGTCCCTTTTCAGTGAATACTCCACCCAGAGGTCATCACTATTCTATCACTTTAGCTATATGATTGTTTTTTAACAGCTTTATTGAGATATGATTCATATACCATACAGTCACCCATTTAAAGAGCATAATTCAATGGTTTCAGTATATTCACAGTTGTACAACCATCATCAAAACCTAGCTTTGAACGTTTTCATCACCTCAAAGAGACATGCCCCCCATACTTAATAGCAGTCACTTCCCATCCTGCACTCTCCAGCTCTTATGATTGCTCTTTTAAAAAATCAACTTTCTGGGGGACTTCCCTGGTCGTCCAGTGTCTAGAATCTGCCTTGCAATGCAGGGGACACAGGTTCAATCACTGATCGGGAGCTAAGATTCCACATGCTGCTGAGCAACTAAGCCCACAAGCTGCAACTAGAGAGCCCATGAGCAGCAAGGAGAGATCACACAAAAGAAAATGAAGATCCCAAAACTAAGACCTGCCACAGCCAAATGAATTAAACAAAAAAAAAAAATCAACTTTCTGGGACTTCTCTGGCAGTTCAGTGGTTAAGACTCTGCCTCCATTTTAGGGTGCAGGAGTCCAATCCCTGGCCAGGAAACTAAGATCATGAGAACAAAACTGAGCGGTTGAATCTCCTTGCAATCCAAGGGGCTCTCAAGAGTCTTCTCCAACACCACAGTTCAAAAGCATCAGCTCTTCGGTGCTCAGCTTTCTTTATAGTACAACTCTCAC